TACTTAAACCAACCACTACACTATTGCACTACACCTTTTTACAATTACTTTGTCCCCCTTCGCTTTCCCTTTTCCCTATCTCTCACTCTCTTTCTCTCTCTCTCTCTCTCTCTCTCTCTCTCTTTTTTACACGAGTACGTTTCGAGTTCAATTCTCTGACATTCGTCTTTGGCATTGAGATCTCACTTTCCCCACCTCGTTCTTCTACGAATCTTTGGCAATGCGGTGAACCTTCACCTCTCCTCTTTGTCGAGTGTCGTTCCTCCCGACTTTCGATTAAAAACTACAAAAATGTCTAGAAATCATCACCAGACTCTGCCGCCAGTTCAGCTAGTCTCAAAGGTCAATTAGAACATCTGATTAGGGCGATCTCTCGCCATTGAGACTCACGCAAAGATCCAAAACCGAATTTCGATCACTGGTCAATCGTTGGTCGACCAGATCGTGACTTCTCGATCAGATCTCTCGGAACTGAGGTTCCTAAACGAGCGGCGAGAAGGCAGAGGCCTGACTCCTGATTTCCCTGTGCTCCGACGGGCTGAGATCCAACAGTCCACCGCAGCTCTGCTCGGTGGCTGCCTGTTTGCCGATCAGAGCGTCGATACTAAAATTCCTCTTCTTCTCCACCGGCGGATGGGCGCTCGGCATCTGAGCGTTCCTCGTCGGTGTCGGGTCGATCTGCCTGATCGGTGGCGCGGTTATGGGCACCGGTTTGTACAACGGTGGCGGCGGTTCCAGGAAACCGCCTAACTTCAAGGCTTCCAAAGTCGACGGCGAGAAGTCGAGCAACGGCAGACCAGGCGGTGGCGAGAGATAGGCGCTGGGGTAGGTGAGAGCACCTGGGTGCCCGCCGCCACCGCCGGCACAGGGTCCCCGATCGCCGCAAATGGCAAACGTCGCCATGATCGCTCTGTCGCGTAGGACGTAATGCGGCGGAGGCCTCTTGTACCTCTTCCTGCGACGCAAGAAACTCCCATTGTCAAACATGTCCTCAGCCAGTGGGTCTAAGGTCCAGTAGTTACCCTTTCCCGGGTTCCCAGGCTCGCGGGGTATCTTGATGAAACAATCGTTCAATGATAGATTGTGTCTGATGGAGTTCTGCCAGGCTGGGAACTTGTCGTGGTAATAAGGAAACCGGGACATGATGAACTCACAGATCCCGCTTAGGGTCAGCTTTTTCTGTGGCGATTGTAAAATCGCCATCGTGATCAACGCTATGTACGAATACGGCGGTTTGATCAGGGACGAGGACATCTTGTCGTTGTTGTAAGACGACGTCTGGCCGGACGTGTTGTTCTTCTGTTGACCGCTGGTAGACATCATTGAGTAATTCTTCTTGGCACGGTTTCCACCGCGGTTCCTCGAGGACGTGGTGCTCGCGGGTACCGGGGAACTAGGGATTATCGGGCTCGACGACGACTGGGACGGTGACAGGTCGTTCTTGTCCAAGCTGACTGGGTCCACGATCATGCTGCTGCTGTCCGAGTCCCGGTCGCTGTCCACGCAGCCGTCGCACGACAGATTCGGCATCATCATCCCGCGTTCCATCGTGATCGCTTCATCGGCGCACTTGACACGATTTTAGATCGATCGGAAGCCACGGTTCGATCCAAGATCTTTAACGTCCTACATGCTGATGGCCATTTGGTACCATTCTCGTTTACACTCACTACGCACTCGCACACGTGTTTCGATCCGTAATCGAGTCAGTGGTTCAACGTGAATCACACGCGCGTCCCGTCATATTTTCGCTAGTCGACTGACACACACGCGACGAAAACCGTTATCTCACGTTAATAGTTTGTTTCCACAACGATAACGAGGGTACTTTTTTTATTTCTCTCCACCCGTGGTTCTCCTCTATATCTCAAGGATGTCGACGGCTCGTGACGCACTCGAGCTTATCGCTGACAGCCATCTCTCCCACCCGGTGGTATCTCATCTTCGATATCCATACGATAACTCACATCTCATCGAATCAACTCTCGAGCGTGGCTCGAAAACACGTTCATGCAATATCATCGCAGACAGAGACGTTCGATTATTATTATTATTATTATTATTATTATTATTATTATTATTAT